ACTGAGTGCCCAAACTGCAACCCAAAACCCACCTATGCATCATTGGGTGCCGGGTGGGTGTGGCCCATTGGCTGGGTGTGGCCCATTGGCTGGGCGTGGCCCATTGGGTGGATGTAGCCCATTGGGTGGATGTGGCTGCAGTGGTAATGGCAACCTGGGGGGACTAAAAAGTTCAATCAATCAATTCCAACTTTTCAAGATCTTTTTTTTTCCTGCGAGAAGTTGAAATTGACTGATTGATTGAACCCTTTTTTTTTTTACATGGCGGTGGGGGCCTAAAGTGAAAAGCTTTTATAAAACCCAGCTGAAGGCCTAGGACTGGGGCGACGGCACGCGTGCCCACAGAGAGGGCTCTGAGTGCCGCCTCTGGCACCCGTGCCATAGGTTCGCCACCACTGTTATATACTTTTTGAAATGGCAAGATTTACAAAAACAACGTAAGCAATTATTATTATTTTTTTATAAAAAGTTTTTACTTTCCATTTATTCATCATACAAAATACAAAATACAATTTACAAAATAAAATAAATTCATGACCATTGGTACCGCCTGCCCATTCCCCCCAGGCTGTGTCCACCCTCTCTAAACCTTCCCTACTTCCCTCCTCTTTCTCTCCTCCCCTTCTACTCTCTCCCCTCCCCTTCTCCTCTTACCATCCTACTTCCTCCCTACACCTTCCTCCCCTCTCATCCCTCTCAGACACATGAACACAGCATAGGGGAAATGCCCAAGCAGCACCTCTCTCATAAACTACCATATCTATATTATCCTTACCCACCCACTCACCCACCCACCCACCCTCAACCCTCCCCCCCTCACTTCCCAGGGCAGAGTACAGGGTTATTAATAACAAAGTTAACAATAAAAAAAGAAAAGAAGAAAGAAAAAAGAAAAGAAAAGAGAAAAAAATATATATCATACTTAACCTTTAACTCCTAAATTACATCATAAGCAAATCTCTACAACATTTACTAAAAAAGTTACTCATAAAATAAATGAAACTTTGTAGTCCCGTACTTTTTCTGAATATAATCTATCCATCTTCTCCATACAATAATATATCTTTCTTGTGTATGATCCTTCAAATAAGCAGAAATTTTTGCCATTTCTGCAAAACTAGAAACTTTAAATATCCATTCTTCTAAAGTAGGCAACGAATCTTTCTTCCAGTATGAACCTACTAGTAACCTTGCTGCAGTTAATAAATTCAACATTAAAATAGTTTCTTTGTCATTTAAGTCCACAAAAATACCCAGTAAAAATAATTAAGGAGTAAACTTTATCTTCCTTCTAAAAATCTTTTGAATGTTCCACCAAATCATAATCCAAAAAGCCTTTACCTTTTTACAATTCCACCAAATGTGAAAATATGTTGCATCCATATTACCACATCTCCAACATTTGGGTTGTAAATTAGAATACATACAAGATATTTTTTTAGGATCTAAATGCCATCTATAAAACATTTTATAAAAATTTTCCCTCAAATTTTGAGCTTGTGTAAATTTAACATTTCTGATCCAAATTATCTGCCATAAGTCCAATGGGATCGGTTCCTGGATATTCTGAGCCCATTTAATCATACAGTCTTTGACCAATTCTGTTTCCGAATCTAATTCTATTAAAGCACTATAAATTCTTTTTATATGGGCCTGACTCTGATCTTTAATCTGAATAACCAAATTTTTATCTTCTAATTTTATTCCCTCTTTCTTATCTACAGTCCACCTGTCCACTATTTGTAAATATTGAAACCATGACTGTAGAATATTTTCTTGCCTTAATATATCTAGGGATTTTAAATGCCAGTTCGAACCTGACCAAATTAATAATTCTTTACACAAAATTTAATCAAAATTCATCCCCTTAGAAATTCCTTCATTTGCATGTCTGGGAATCCCCCAGATAGGTATTTTATAATTTAACCTATGATAATACTTTTTCCAAACTCGAAGTAAGGCATTCCTCAAAATGTGTGATTTGAAAGTCTGGTCCACTTTCTTATTAAAAATTAAATATGCATGCCAACCATACATTAAATCCCACCCTTCAAGAGAAAGAATATCCTTGTTTGTTAAATTGAACCAATCACTTATCCAAGTTAAGGTGGCTGCATCATAATATAATTTCAAATTAGGTGCCTTAAGTCCTCCTCTTTCTCGGGCATTTTGCAAAATCTTAAACTTAACCCTTGGTTTTTCCCCAGCCCAAATGAATTTGTTGATACCCCTCTGCCATTCCTCCAAATTTACATCTTTTTTTAAAATAGGTATCATCTGAAACAAGAAAAGAAACTTTGGTAGAACATTCATTTTTACAGCTGAAATTCTCCCCAACAATAACAATTGCAATTTTTCCAATCATTTAAATCCTTTTGTACTTTTGCCCATAATAATTCATAATTATTCTTATACAATTTTCCATTTGAAGCAGTTAAATATACTCCCAAATATTTAACTTTTTTCACCATCTGAAAACCTGTGGTTTTAACCAAACTTTCCTTATCATTAACTGACATATTCTTGGGTAATATCTTAGTCTTGTGATTATTAACTTTAAAACCAGAAACCTTCCCATATTGTGTTATAAGTTCTAATAGACAGTCAACTGCTTGAGTCGGTTGTTCCAAAATTAAAACCAAATCATCCGCAAAAGCCCGCAATTTATACTCATTCTTTCTTATCTTTATATCAAGGGTATAACGTAAGCAATTATGACATGACTTTTAATACAGGAATTTAAAATCTAATAACATAGGGTGACTTTACTGTGGGCTGATCCATGGCCTCTACATTCTGCTTTTCTAATGAGCTCCAAGCCAACCTTTCTACTGATACTAGCTTCTTCTAATACAGGGGTCTTCAAACTTGGCCCTTTTATGACTTGTCGACTTCAACTCCCCGAATTCCTCAGCCAGGCACGCTGAGTATCAGCCAAGTTTGAAAACCCCTGTTCTAATACATACATTGTCCCTTCACATCATGGAAAAGATAAAAGGGTTTTTGTTATCTGTCTTCTTCCCTTCCAGGGTCATGAGGCAGTTTAAATGTACCTGCTCAGTCTAATATCCCTTCAGAATCATAATGTAAAAATAGGATATTATTTGTGCCCCACAGAACTAGCTGCACATCCTTAGGGGATCATTCCATAAAGTATGAGTTATTAGTAAGAAACTAATTAGTAAAAATTAGTAAGAAATTTTGCTTAACAGTTTTTACCAGTTCTAATCAGAATTACTGTTATCAATACTACTTCTTCTTAAATATGGTATTTTAAATTTCAAAGAACTGTCTGGATTTTTAATCATTGTACTTATAAGCAGTCCAAAAAAGCCCTTCTGTTATTTTCATTACATATTTGGGAAAACGAGGATGTGTAAAAGTGATGTAATATAAACCAAAGATAGTTTATTATATGTGTATCTGGGTTTTAATTCAGCTTTTTAACCATTCAAGAAAATTGGCTTCCATTTATGCCTTTCACCATCCTGGTGATTTCAGTTAAATCAGAATCCATTCAACAAGATGCATTTTAACTTCATTTGTGAAAGTGTATTTTATAGAATGAGAGTCTGCAGGAATAGACTTACCTGTTGTTTTGTGCAGTCTGTGTCTCCAGATTATTAGGATTACAATTTTAGGAAATATCATTTGACAGTATGGAGGCACAACATTGGAGAAGAGTATTCCTACTCCAGAACGTATTCTATTGCTGTAGTCTCTAGAAGAGACTCTTTTGGCTCTTTAAAAATGCCTAGATATGAGATCTGCACATAAGGTATTATGTTAATTATTTACGTGTTTAAACATTTCATTTTTTCCTACAACTTATGGAATACCCTCTGGACTTCACACCTAAGGAAGAAAATTGACATTCCAAGATATTGGAAAAGAGTCAATATCTTCACTCTGAACCAAGAGTGAACCAACCCATTCTGTGGGTTCACAAAGTGGTAAAAGAACCCTCTAGTCAAGTTTGACTTCCAGCTTCTATTGCACATCGATCCACTTTTCTTGGCCACAGGAAAAATCCCACAATGTATTTTCCCATTTCCAATCTAATCTACACTCTGGAAATCTCTGTTGGTTTCCCATTCAAATAATAGCCACAACCTATCTTGCTTAGCTTCCTAGATAAAACAAGGTTGGCTACATGCTGCCACCTATTGGGGCTGCTTGCATGCAACGGCCACTTTTAAAATGGCCAAGGCAAGTGCAACACAGCACTGGTTTGCCAATAGGCAGAGAGCTCATGAAGGAGTTGGAGGATTAGCTGCCTGTAGTATTCAGTTGATACTTTGTGGACCACCCTACGTTCGCTGAACCGGCTCAGGCTTCAGGCAATCTTTCATCTTCAGAAAGTGGTTACCGTCGGCCTCAGAGGGTCCGTACTTCTGTCTGGGGGCTCTGCCTTCAACGTTGAGCACTCCTTACAGCAGGGGTCTTCAAACGTGGCCCTTTTATGACCTGTGGACTTCAACTCCCAGAATTCCTCAGCCAGCGTGCCTGGCTGAGGAATTCTGGGACTTGAAGTCCACAAGTCATAAAAGGGCCACGTTTGAAGACCCCTGCCTTACAGGATCCCCTTCTCCCCCTCCCCCCCAGGTTTGCTTCCGAAGGCTCCCTTCCACACACTGCACTTTCCTCCGCTCCAGCTAGGTTCAGGTTTCTTATCATCACTCCACACCTTCTCTCCACTCTTCCCTTTCTCCCAGTTGTAATTAGAATCACTATATTCACTTCCCCCGCGCGCTTTTCGGTTTTTTTCCCCCCTCTGGGAGCTCGGCAGCGTTTGCCCTTTCCTTAGTTTAATGCCACCATCTGGGGAGGTTTTTCCGCGCCTTTTCTCCGCCCCCATCGCTTGGCTGCCGCTCCGAGGCCAGAGCTCCATGTGAGCGCACGGAGAGTTTCGCCCTGCCCTCGCCTCGCTGTCATTTACGTCAGACTCGGAGCGGTCCCAGGCTCCCGCTCTTTTTCCCTCACTCTTGGGGTACGGAAGGTGCAGCACCGCCAGCCAATTCTCCGCCTCCTCGGCTCCTGCCCGCCAAAGGCAAAGAGAAGAGGCGGCTGCAGCCACGCGACGGGAGCAGATTTGCGGCGGTCAGCGGCGAAAGCAGCCGACACTCATGAGAAGCAGCTGTCGGCTTTGAGATCGAATCCGAGTAAGAAAGTGGTCTTGCCGGTTCGGGGGCGTGTAAGGTGGGAGGAATTGCAGTCCTGGGGAGAAGAAAGTGCTCGGCGCGCTGCTCCTGGTAGCAAGTAGAGGCTTTTTGAGGACTGGGGTCTAGCTAGCCCATCACCTGCGCTTGGACGGCGCCCGAGAACTCTGCTCGTAGAGCAAGAGGCAAAAGGAAGATGGGGCGGGAAAGGAAACTTGAGGTTCAGCACCACGGACAGCACTCGGCGGCTTCTGCAAGCTGGGCTCCGTAACCGATGTGGACCGACTTCCGTTCATTTTCTTCTCCTGCTCCGATTAATTCTCCCTCCTTCATACATTACCTTCACCTTCCTGCGGGATTTCACTCTCTATTGCTCATTCTTTTTTTGTTGTTGTTGTTTTTCTTTTTGCCTTCGTTGCTATTTTTGCACTTCTTATTTATTTGCAGAGGCTGCAGGGAAATGGACTTTGCCTTATTTTAACCACCCCCTTTTCTTTTTTCCTGGTCTTTCCCCTTGCAGGTGGCTTTGCTGGCTGTGGCAGAAATGAACGAAAGCGTCCCCTCGAATGAGACCGGGGCTCCGGCACCGTGGATTCAGAGCAGCAGTGGCAATTCTTCGCTGGAATTTTCCTCCAAGCTCCCTAACTTTATCCTCAATCCTTGGGATATTATGCTCTGCATCTCTGGAACCATTATTGCCTGTGAAAATGCCATTGTGGTGGCCATTATATTCTACACTCCCAGTTTGAGAACCCCAATGTTTGTGCTGATCGGCAGCCTGGCCACAGCAGACCTCCTGGCTGGAGTTGGCCTAATCCTTAATTTTGTATTCCAATATGTGATCCAGTCAGAAACCATCAGCCTTATTACCGTTGGTTTCCTAGTTGCCTCTTTCACTGCTTCTGTGAGTAGCTTATTAGCGATCACAGTAGATCGTTATCTTTCTCTGTACAATGCGCTGACTTATTACTCTGAGAAGACTGTTTTTTGTATTCATATGATGCTAATCATCACCTGGGGGGTGTCCCTCTGCTTAGGACTATTGCCCGTCCTAGGCTGGAATTGTATGGAAGATTATTCATCGTGCAGTATTGCCAGACCTTTGACCAAAAGCAATGTGACTTTGTTGTCTGCCTCCTTCTTTTTCATTTTCATCCTTATGCTCCACTTGTACATTAAAATCTGCAAAATAGTTTGCAGGCATGCACATCAAATCGCACTCCAACAGCACTTCTTAACCGCATCTCACTATGTTGCAACCAAAAAGGGAGTCTCTACTCTCGCTATTATCCTTGGAACCTTTGGAGCCAGTTGGTTACCTTTTGCTATCTACTGTGTCATTGGAGATTCCAACTACCCTGCGGTGTACACTTATGCCACCCTTTTACCTGCTACCTACAACTCCATGATCAATCCCATAATTTATGCCTACAGAAACCAAGAAATTCAGAGGTCCATGTGGGTTCTCTTCTGTGGCTGTTTTCAATCCAAAGTGTCCTTTCGTTCAAGATCCCCCAGTGATGTTTAAGTGACTTCTTCCTCTGTGTAGGTTTGCACAAAGTGACAATTTTCAACTTCTGTGAATTACAGTGCCTGGTATGAACCAGATCCATGTTGTGAAATTGTTTTGGGGGGAGATGTTTAAACAGTAGCACTTTATGTATGTGTATTCTTGAGAATGTGACAGGTCTGGAGTTTCTGATTATGTGAAACTAAACTAAAAACAAACAAACCATGAATGTATACAAGACTGTACATTGTATTTGTGAAGTGAAGGTATTCCAAGACTACATAATTATAGCACTTTATTTTTAGCTGCTGAACTGCCAAAACAGTATTGCCATTTTCAAAGGGCAAAGAGAGAATGAAAATAAGCGAAATGTTGTCTAGTTTGGGATGTGAGTGATAATATATTTTGCTGCACAGTACTGATAAATTATGACATTTTGTATACAAATAAACAAATTCATTACATTTTTTCTTCTGTGTTGAACTGTTTTAATGGCTTTAGAAACACAATCAAGGTTTCCTACTGCCTCACCTTTATATTTACAAGAAATATTCATCGGGTACCTTCACATAAATTCTTTACAAAGAGAAATCATATCATAAAACAAGAAAATAAAATAAACTATTTTGTTTTTTACTTTCTGGTAAGTAGTAATTTATTTTCCATTTAAAAAAAAAAACCAGCAAAGCAAGCTTTAGAATGCTCACCAACTTTGCTTGCTGGAAATTATCAGCCCTAATTAATAATACATGTAACTTTCTGGAAAGGTAAGGAGAGAGACCAATCCTTAAATACCTGGAAGCATGTCACAGGGAGGAATGTGTAGATTTATTCTTCATAGCTCCTGAGGGTAAGACAAAAAGTACTGGGCGGAAGCTTTACAGAAGGAGAGCCAAATTCAAAAGAAGGAATTTCCTGGCCATAAAAGCACTCTGCAGAGAGCAGGCTGCCTCCTGGAGTTGTGGATGCGCAATAACTGGAAGTATTCAAGCAAAGGCTGGACAGTCATTTGTCTGGGTTGGTGTGATTCCTGCCCCAGAAAAGGGGCTGGACTAGCAGACATTTAAGGTACCTTCCAAACCTTATGATTCTCTGAATGTGACATTTTAACTCTTGCAATATACTTCAGACTGGGCAATTTATTCTGTAACTGGGAGTTAAATGATCATTTATCAGTTTTGCATTCGAATACTGCAATGTATATTAAGGCTAATTGCTATATAATATCTCCCCCAGCCCCTTCCCAATCTTAAATGTTTTCTAAAATCTAGTGTTCAGGTCAAACTAGCTAATTACTTGCATTCTGCAATAACATATTTTAAAGAAGGAGGGAGGGAAGGAGGGAGGGAGGGAGAGAGAGAAGGAAGGAAGGAGGGAAGGAAGGAAGAAAGGAGGGAAGGAAGAAGCTAGAGCTAACTTTATTAATATTATGATTCACTAACAACAAAACTGAGAAAGAATATAATACCTGGCTGGTAACCGTAATGCTAACAGTTCATGGACAAAAACATTAAAACACCCATTTCAATTTGCGTACAGACATGGGGTGAGTTTTCATACTTAGATTTTCAACAACTTACAATTTGAAGGAGCAGAATGTCATTCAGGAACGATGAGTACAGCCTTGTAATGTGTGCGCGTGTGAATGTATGGGTGTATATATTATACCATACCCTTGTCATTTTGGAAGAGATAATGGAGCACTCTGTCTCGCTGTAAGGTCTCTGTGGCTCATTTAACCTCCCCACCTGCAACTGCTGAACAAATGAATAAAATCTGTCAGCATTAGTAATCCAGCTAACACAGAAAATGAGTCCTCTGAAGTCTTCTAGCTTGGTATGAAGGAATATTGTGGGGAGTTTAGGAGTAATGGAATATGAATAATGCTTCTCTAACTGCAGTAATACTTTACTGTTTGACAATAAAGAATGTAAAATTCAGAAGCTTTAAGAACCATTTGATTATAACTCTATGTCTGCAAAAACAGGAAACAAAGAAGCATTGCACACCTATAAGCCTTCAAAATATTCCTCATTGTTTGACTGTAGTTCTGTTCTCTGCCCCTTGATAGCTTGCTATGAAATGTTTCAATAATAAAATCTAGCAGGTGAAGTGATATAGAAGCTGGGAAAGCAGTTTCATTTAAAGAAACTGTTATGTCCTGGGCCGGCAGGCACAGGCTGCAGTGATTGGCCTGGGCAGACCATGTGGATGCCTGGGACAAGAAAGGCTGCTCCCAGCCTTGCGTGCACACGCACGACGGGAAACGATCCTTTCCAATGATTGGCCAGCATGGTATTGTGCAGGGGGGCTATAAAAGGGGGCCGTACCATTTTAAAATATGTTCTGTTGCTGTTTGCAGTAAAGGAGAACTGCTGGAACTTGTTGCTTCGTCTCAATGCCTCTTTTCCTGAAACAGAACATTGGCGTGACAAAGGTGGGATGCCTGCAAGGCAAACAGATTAAGAAGCCAAGCTGACTCACCACAGGGGGGCTTGCAGCTCGGAGAAGTGTGGCTCCTGGAGATTGACTCAGGCTGCCAGCACTGAGACGCTGGAGGTGAGCTCAGAAAAGGGGGCCCCTTCTCAATCCTTGCAGCAGGAGGCGTGGACGAAGTCCCTGGGCTGAAACGATGGCAAAGATAGGCCAGCTTTCAGAATTTGACACAGCTCACCCAGAACGCTGGAGCTCGTACGTGGCCCGGTTGGAGAACTACCTCCAGGTGAATCAAATTTGTGAAGTTGACCTCAAAGTTGCCACACTGCTGTGTGTGTGTGGGCAAGAGACCTTCAAGATTGCAGAGAATCTGGTCGCCCCAGCACCACTGGAATCAATAACCTACACAGACTTGAAGAGGATGCTTCAAGAGCATTTTGAACCCAAGCTCTCAGTGATTGCTTGGCGACACACATTCGAGCAGAGGGACCAAAGGCCTGGTGAGTCTGCAGCAGAGTTTGTTGCGGCCTTACAGCAAGCAGCTAGGCCCTGCGAATTCAAAGACTTGGAAGAGAGGCTGAGGGATCGGCTGGTCTGTGGCCTGTGAAGCTGGGAGTTGCAGCAGAAGCTCTTCACGAAGGAAGGCCTCATGTTCCAAAATGCCCTGAGGGAAGTGTCAGCCGGAGAAGCAGCAGGCGGAGCTGTGAAGGCCTTGCGGCTTGCCAAGCCCCCTCAAATTCCAGCCACCATCCATCAAGAGGTTGCTCACGAAGAATCCAAACAAGATCCAGAATTGGAAGTGGACCGGCTGCATCAGACTCCAGGGAGAAGGCCTCACGGAGGGAAGGCCCAGCCAGCATCATCCCCTCGGTACATCGGGTGTGGAGGCCGCCATCACCGTGCAGACTGCCATTTTTGCTCCGCCATCTGCAGGGCCTGTGGGAGGCAAGGCCACATTGCCTCTGTCTGTTTGGGTCGCCAGAAGGAATGTTACCCAGAATAATTGCCTCACAAGGTACCAGGGTCCCCAGCCAGAACAGGGTGGGCTTCTGCATGTCACATAGGAACGTTTTTAGAACGGGGGTTCACAGGTCACTTAGGAAGAAGCTTCACATTGATGTGAAGTTGCAACGGGTCCCCTTGTCGATGGAGCTGGACACTGGGTCTGCTCTATTGATCATCTCCCTAGACACCTTTAACAAGGTCTGCAGCAGAAGCAGCCTACAGGTTAAACTCAGGCTGTCAACCCTCATTCTCACAGATTTCCAAAATTCCAGAGTCAACATGAGGGGGGAGGCCACACTCAAGGTGCAGCGTAGGAATTTTGAGGGGCTACTGGATGTAGTTGTGGTTGGGGGAGACCGTACGAGTCTCATTGGACTCGACTGGTTTGAGGCCCTGGGAATTCAGGTGACTGGAATACACAGTGTGCAAACAACAGGCCTGGCTGGGGTCTGCAAGGAGTTTGCAGATGTGTTTAGTCCAGAACTTGGCTCCTACAACTTGGCCCTCTATTTCTCTGAGGTTAGACCCAGCCATAGCCCCCATTAGAATCAAGCCATGCAGAGTGCCCTTTGCCTTAAAGGGTAAAATAGATGCAGAGCTAGATAAACTGATTCAGCAGGGTATCTTAGAGCCTGTGGACAGTAGTCCATGGGAAACGCCCATAGTTACACCACTAAAGGCCAATGGTGAAGTCCAAATCTGTGCGGACTACAAGTGCCCACATTCTAGCCTCCCTCAAGAGGGGCCAGATCTTTGCTAAGCTTGACCTGGCTCAGGCCTATCAACAATTGCCAGTTGATGAGGCAATGGCCGAGGCCCAAACTACAGTAACTCACAGGGGGGCATTCAAGGTAAAAAGATTGCAATTTGGAGTAAACGTGGCCCCTGGCATCTTCCAGAGTGTAATGGAGCAAACACTCCAAAATATCCCTGGCATTTGCCCGTACTTTGACGATGTCCTCATCGCTGGGGACTCAGCTGACAATTTAGCTGAAAGGCTGAGAGCCATTTTGCTACATTTCTGCCAAGCTGGGCTAAAGCTTAAGCAAGACAAGTGCAGGATCGGGGTTACCTCCACGGAGTTTCTAGGATTCCTCATTGATGCTCAGGGCATCCACTCTGCTGAATCCAAGCTGCAAGCAATTCAGCAGGCCCCAAGTCCCAAATCCAAGGGCGAACTTCAGGCCTTTCTGTGACTGCTAAATTTTTACCACTCATTCCTTCCTTACAAGGCTGCAGTGGCTGAGCCGTTACACCGGCTGTTAGACAAACAGGCCCCTTGGCAGTGGACACAAGCACATGAAAAGAGCTTCAAAGAGGTCAAGGCCTTGCTCTCTTCAAATGCAGTCCTCGCGCACTTCAATGAGAACTTGCCAGTGTGCATCGCCTGTGATGCATCCCCTTATGAGATTGGGGCTGTGTTAAGTCACTTGAAGGCTGATGGAATGCAAGTCCCAATAGCATATTACTCTAGAACCCTATCATCAACTGAATGCAATTATGCACAGATAGATAGGGAAGCCTTAGCCATAGTGGCTGGCATAAAGAAGTTCCATGACTTCGTATATGGCCGCCACATCATGGTCTTTACAGACCATAAGCCACTGCTGGGGTTGTTCACAGCAAACAAACAAACCCCACACATAATATCCCCACAAATGCTGAGGTGGTCTATCTTCCTGTCTGCATATGACCATACACTGGTTCACAAGCCAGGCAAAAAAAATGGGTCATGCAGATGGTCTCAGCAGGTTGCCATTACAGCAGATAGAGGCAGATCCGGCACCTGCCAACCGCATCCTGTCTATTCAGGACTTGCCTGAATCTCCCCTCAGTGCTAGAGATGTGGCTGCAGAAACAGCCACCGATCACACGCTAACATGTATGTTGATCTGGGTGTTGTTTGAGGGCCTGACACAAGTCCAGGCTCAGAATTCCA